AACAAAAACCACACAAAAAACACAAAGCAAAAATACAGAAAATTTTAGAAACTAGAATCTTATATTAAAATACATTATACTATAATATAAAGTACAGTGAACCCTCGCCACTTCGCGCTTTGACTTCCGCGGCTTCACTCTATCGCGGTTTTTGCGTAACAGCGCATGCTCTGTCATTACTGCCACTGATTGGCTCATACTGTACACGCTTGATGCCATAAAGAATATAATAAATAATAAATGATCATTGTAACGTCCAAAATGTTTTACTGTATTTTCCCTTTTTCGTTTAATAAATTGGGTAATACGAGTGTAATGGTGACTAAAGGGTGTTTTTTCATGTCCTCTATGCTCTAACTATGAAAATATTTGATTTACAAATAAGGAATCCTACTTCGCGGAATTTCATTTATCACGGTAGGGTCTAGAACTGATTAACCGCGATAAACGAGGGTTCACTGTGTATATATATATATATATAGTATTCTTACATGCTTCATTATATCTTTGTATGTGTTTTTCTTCAGTCTCCCCATAACAGATAATATTCTACATCCTTGTTTGGGGGAAAGACGGGGCTTTCTGCTTCTGTAAAGAGCTAGAGTCTCGGAGACCCCAGGGGCAGTTCTCCCCTGTCCTACAGGGTCACTGCGCGTCAGGACGGACGCGAGGACAGGGAGTTTGAGCTGGACAAACAGCATCTGGAAGCCGCTTCAGCAGAACTTGCAGCACGCAGTGTCCCGCGACTGCCTGCGCAGACAGCGCTCTCTCCGTGGCTCCATCGCCTGGGCCATTGTGCTGACTTAGCCTGCATGGAGCGCCTTGCCCTTCACCCAAATGCGCCCAGGCCTGCTCTCGACTGCGGTTCTCCCGCTCCCCTCCGTCCACCCAGATGGCATCAAAGAAAACCCATCCGTGACTTTTCCTCATCGTGGGCTCACCCAGTCTTTGGCCCCTTGGAAGCAACTTATGTCACCTGGCAGCGCGATGCCCGCCCCCTGGGACGTTTTGCAGCGTCCTCCTTGCACCTGATTGCCACACCGCGTTCCCTGTGCGGAGGGACGATGATCCTTTAACCCACCTGCCTGTTGCTGGGCGCTCAGTCGTTCTGCCTCTGTGCTAGTGTGCCCACGGTGGTCCCTAGCGCCGGGGGGTGTCTGGTTCCCGCCTGCAGCTCGGGGTCTCAGAGTACTTTTACAGGTCGCCGGACTGTTCCCATGACGGGAGTACCCCTTTGCATCTCCGCCGGGGCTGCGTCAGCATCCCAATCTCCCCACGTGCTCACTAGCATTTGCGTGTTCAGTTTCATTTCGTTTTGGTCCTCGCCATCTTTGCCCGGGTGAGGGGGTCCCCCGCCGTCACCACCATGCGCATCTCTCTAAGGGCTCACGAGCAGGGCGCCCCCAGGACGTAGTGCTTCTGCGTTGGGCTGCTAACCACAGAGCCAGCAGTTCAAAACCACCAGCCTCTCTTTGGGAGACAGACGGGGCTCTCCACTCCAGTAGAGTCCCAGTCTGGGGGACTCGCAAGGCAGCTCTTCCCGGTCCTGCAGGGTCGCTGCGCGTCAGAATCCACTCGGTGGCAGCGAGTTGATGTTGCTTCAAAATGACAGTCGGAGCCTCTCTTTGTGATGTGTGTGTTGGCCATTTGGAGGTCTTCTTTGGCCAAGCGTCACGTCACGTCCCCTGCCCATTTTTTCTTGGGGGGCGGGGGCACAACTGTTTATCTTTTTGTTGTTGAGATGTTGATGTTTTTCTATAAATGTACGAGAATAGTCCCTGGTCAGGTATGTCACTGCCCCCGATTTGCCCCTGTATGGCCCTTGTTTCATTTTTCTGCAGAGGGAGATCCAGTTTTGCCAGGATCATTTGTCAAAGGGAATCTCTCTTCTCTATTTAGTGAACTCTGGCCCTTTGATGAGGCTCCGCTGCCCATAGCTGGATGGAATCGTTTCTGGAGTCTGGGTGCCTGTCAGTGTACTGTTGGTTTATTTTCAGAACTCTTTCAGCTCACTTAAAAAGAAAAAAAAATCCTCCTGTGATTAAGCATCACTTTAAAAAAATTTTTTTTAAATAATTTTATTAGGGGCTCATACAACTCTTATCACAATCCATCCATACATCAATTGTGTAAAACGCATTTGTACATTCATTGCCTTCATCATTCTCAAAACATTTCCTCACCACTTAAGCCCCCAGCATTAGGTCCTCATTTTTCCCCTCCCTCCCCGCTCCCCTCTCCCTCATGAATCCTTGATAATTTATAAATTATTATTTTGTCATATCTTGACCTGATTAAGCATCACTTATTGATTCTATTTTTTTTAAATTAATCGTTTTTTATTGGGGAGAGGGCTCTTACAAATCTTGCGACAACCCATAATTCAATAGTATTGAGCACACGTGTACATAGGTTGCCATCAACATTTCCAAAACAATTTCTTTCTACATAAGCCCTGGGTATCAGCTCTTTTCCCCCCTCCCCCGCCCTCCCACCCTTGTGAACCCTTAATCTAAGGTGACCAGACATCCCGCTTTTGGCGGGACAGTCCCGATTTTGAACAATTTTTCCCGTGTCCCGCGGCGTTTTAAAAAAAGTCCCGATTTTTGGAAAGAATGCACAACAAGCTAGGGTATACGGTTTTCGGCTGCCATGTGGCTATTTTGCCAGGATATGAGTTTTATCAATGGCGTCCCGCTTTACCGATGTTAAAATCTGGTCACCTTACCTTAATTAATTGCATATTATTGTTCTTTAATGTCTTACACTGTAAGCATCACTTTAAAGAGACATTTTGCTTCTTTTTTCTTAAGCTCCCCTTTTGCGTCAACCTCGATGCAGTGGCCCGTATGTGTCATAATAGAACGGGGCTCCGCGGGGTGTCTGTGGCTCCGTGGGGTGTCTGTGGCTCCGTGGGGTGTCTGGGGCTCCGAAGGGTGTCTGGGACTCCGAGGGGTGTCTGTGGCTCCGTGGGGGTGTCTGGGGCTCTGCGGGGTGTCTGGGGCTCCATGGGGTGTCTGTGGCTCTGTGGGGTGTCTGTGGCTCCGAAGGGTGTCTGGGGCTCCACGGGGTGTCTGTGGCTCCGCGGGGTGTCTGCAGCTGATTTATTTGGAAGCAAGTCCCCAGGCCCTTCTTCCCAGGCATCTCCGGGTGACTCCAACCTCAAACTTTTCCATTGGCCACCAAGTGCATCAACCATTTGCCCCACGTGAGCAACTCCTGCTTCGTGATAGCAAAAACTGACCGAAGTCCTCTGGATGTGGATGCGTGGCCACCCTCTAGGGCAGGGTGGGACCGTCCCGCCGGTTCCGAGCCTGTCTCACGGCACAGGAGCAGCAGATCTTGCCCTTCTCTGCTGGTTTCCGATGGCTGACCTCTCAGTTGGTAGCCCAACTCGCAGGCCCTGCATCACCAGGCCATCTTCCGTGATAGCTATACTCACATCTGATTTATTTCTTTCCTCCAAAAAAATGTTTTTGATGTTCAAGAGGTTTATTTGGGAGAGGAGCAGAAAAAGGGGTCGGGGGTGGTGGGGGAGTTGTGCTCACAATTCAGGATGACCACTTGTGCTGGGAGAGAGCTCTGCAGAGATTGTGAGCTAATGGCAAGGAGCGCTCGCCAGGCAGGTGCTGTGCCCCAGGGAGCCGGCACCTCCTGCAATGGGACCCACCCTGGCCTGGGCCAAGTGCCTTCTTGGAAAGAAAACCCACGGGTCCATGGTTCCCAGCTGCTCTGTAACTTAATTCGTTGGTTGGACAAAGAGACACGCCTTCTTCTTCCTGCTCCTCGCATTGCCTCGTCCTTGGGCGCAGGGCCGTGGACTTCACGCCGGTTCGGCTCTGACCTTGGCTTTATCGGCTTATTTATTTCACGATGGCGTCCCTGCAGTGGAGCCCTGGCTGCAGGAAGATCCCTAGCTCGTGCACGGGAAAGGGGGCTTCGGTTTGGCCTCTTGTATGGGGAACTCCGTTTCACTGATAACTTTGCTCTCCTCAGTCAGGCGGCTGGCTGGCTTTCCCCCTGTCCTGCAGGTGACAGTCTCTAGGGTGGCGGCGGCTTATGTGCCCCCACCCTCTCCAAACTGAAGAAGAGCTAGCCTAAGCATGAGTTCTGATTGGGGGAAAGCCCTTGACACAAACCGGAATACACTCACTGCTCTTGAGTCGACTCTGGCTTGTGCCAACCCTACAGGACAGGGGAGAGCTGCCCCCTAGGGTCTCTGAAGCTGCCAGTCTCTGCGGGAGTGGGCAACCTCACCCTGTCTCCCGAGGGGCAGCTGGTGGGTTCTGACTGCAGACTTTAGAGTTTTCAGCCCAAGGGGTAAACAGCTGACCATGCCACCAGGGCAAGGATCTGAAAATTCACACTTCACCCTGGACTCCAAGACCCTGGACAGTGCCCCTTCCTCATTCGTTCACTATTCCTGCGTCATGGACTCCGGGGCAAAAGTGATGACCATGTTGAGGCCTCCAGGGCAAAACCCTCTTCCCACTATGACTGCTGCTTCTTTCTTCCTCCCCCTCCTCTTCCTCTAACCCCTCCTCCCCCTCGGCCTCTGGCAGCATCATCACCACCAATCCCTTTGTTGAAAGCCCCATTCATTCTTGGCCACAGAGACCTCCTCTTCTCCCCTCTCCTCCCTTCCTTCAGCTGAGCCAAGCTGGCACCCTTCATCTCGCTGCATGGCCCCTTGGGTGGGGGCAATGGTGCCAGCAGGGTTCCTGGAGGGAACCGGCAGTGGATGTGGGGGCAAATGACAGAGGGCACCAAGATTGACCGCCTGACTGGGTCCCGGGGAAGCTGGGTGGTGCAAAAGCGGAGTGGGACCCTCGAAGGACAGCCTGCTCTCTGGGGCCCAGACCCGAAGGCCCCGAGGCAGGGGGCCTGCTGTCCCCCCCGCCCCCCGGGGCCTGCCCTCAAGTGTCTTTATGCTTCTTGTCCCCTTGCCTTTGCTGTTGTTGCAGGGACCGCGCTTTTCTCCGTGGGCTGTAAGACACTGGATGGACACATGGGCGGGAAGAAAGCTGAGATTAGACTCCAAGCTGGCCAAATCTCGTTTAATTTACCTCAACCAGCCCCAGAAGAACAATTTCTGTAAGAACTACATCAGGTGAGACGTGAGGGGAGGGTGGAGAGGAAGGAAGAAGATGGTGTGGTCCCCCCTGCACCCCTTCACTCCCCACCCCCACCCAGCCCACCCCCAATCCGTGCCATCTATGTTTCAGGCTTGCACACAGTGTCTCCAGTCTTGTGGTGGTCAAGTGCCATCGAGCTGGTTGTGACCCCTGTGCCCAGCAGACCATACCCCTGTGCCGGCCTGGACCGCCCTCACCACTGTTCCTGTGCTTGAGCCCATTGTCACAGCCACGGTGTCAGGCCATCCCGCTGAGGGGACTTCTTCTCTTTCGCTCCCCTCCACTTGACTGAACATGATGTCCTCCAGGAACTGGTCTCCCCTGACAACACGTCCAATCTTAGGAACTTTCAGTTCCCCCGTCCACTCCCCAGGGTAGGGTTTTCCTGTAAGCTCACCTGGAAGACATCTCTTTGAACGGCCTCTGCTCTCCCTCGTTCATGTCCATAGGCAGGACTCGTGCTGCCCACCCCCAGCTGACACCCCTGACCCCCGAGCAAAGGCGGGAGGCACAAGAGGGTTGTGTTGGGCTGCCTGCTAACCCAAAGGCTGGTGGTTCAAAGCCACCAGCCACTGGGCAGGGGAAGGACATGGCTGCCTGCTTCCCTAAAGCTGGACAGCCTTGGGAACCCTCCAAGGCAGTTCTACCCTGTCGTGGAGGCTTGCATTGTGGTAGGTTGGCATTGATTCCAGGGCAGTCGGCGGGTGACTCATGAGGAGACGGTGCTTTAAAAGGGCATCTGGATGGCCTCCTGGCTTCCCACAATACCTTGGATTGCAGGATTGAATGCTAGGTTAGCCACTCCGAGGAAGAAAGAGGAGACTTTCTGTTCCCACGGAGAGTCAGTCTTGAGACACCCTAAGGAGCCTCTCCTTTGTCCCAGAGGGTGGCTGTGAGCCAGCGTGGCCTCCAGGTCTGTGGGTTTGGTTTTGGTTCATGTTGGCTGCACCAGCTCAGCGGTGTCTGAACTTCCTGGTTAGGGACTAACCAGAAAGGTGCCTCATCCGCCAGGGCCAACCCTGAAGAGAAGCAGGAATGGTGCATTCCTCGGGGGTCTGGGACAGCTGTTGTCTCTGATGACCTAGAACCCGAGTTGGGAGAGAAGAGTCGAGTGGAAGTGGAACACTGATTGGCAGACTCCACCACCATGAAGCCAGCTCCCCGGAGAGTGCTGTTCTAAAGGAAACCCAAACCCAAACCACTGCCCTCGACTCACAGTGACCCCATAGGACAGAGTAGAACTGCTCCTTGGGTTTCTGAGACTGTGTGTCTTTGTGGGAGCAGACAGCCTCATCTTTTCTCTGAGGAGAGACTGGTGGGTTTGAACTGCTGACCTTATGAGTAACAGTCCAGATGTAACCCACTATATCACCAGGGCTCCTATTCCACACGGATGGGGACTACAACACAAGTCTGCCTTGCAAAAGAGGGGATACGGCAACGACACTTAACTTCTTTTAAAGTTGGCTTCTGGGGTCCAGCAGAAAAGTTTTAAGATCTTCTGAGAATGTATAGTGATGAACCAGCTACCTTGTCAGGGTGTTGATGTCTACATCATGAATCTGTGTGATCCACAAAAACCCAAGCTTAAAAGGTAGTTTAAAAGGGTGCCAGACTGCTAGTCGGGTCCGAGGCATCTGGCAGAAGAACCGCTAATCATCTCGGCGGGAATGTCCCGTCCACTCCATCCTGGGAGACTTCCCGGTGATGACGCTTGATCACACGTGGGCAAAGGAAATTCACCAACTCATGAGAGAGCCGGGCTGTTAACAAGAGACAGTGAGAGGGAGGGAGGGAGGGAGGAAGCGAAGAAGGAAGGAAGAGAGAAAGAAAACAAAAGGAAAAGCAAGCAGAGCCAGATCCTTAGAAACTCCAGAACACAATTCAGAAGAGTCAGGCCAGGAGGAGGAATGGAAACAAAACATGGGGAGGAAGTGAGAGGAGTGAATGCTCACTCAAGGGATTGCACTCAATGACATCACACAAAAGGTGTATGAATCGTTGGATGGAAAACTGACGGTCTGTTCTGTAAACCTTTATCAATGCACAACAAAAAGTTTTAAAAACCAACCAACCAACCAACCAACTAACAAAACAAGCAACCAACCCCTCCCCGCAAAAAAATCATCAGGGTGTGAAATTGTCAGACAAAGAGAAAAGAGTATAAACAAGAATGATTTCTATGAACACATCATGATAAGTTGAAAAGAACAACAGATGGTATTGAAGGTGTGAATGAAGAGTGAAAATGAATAAAAACAAGTCTAGTAGATTCAGGAAAGAAACAAACAGAGCCTGGTGTTAAAAATGCGATGACTTATTAAAAAACTCAGAGGACGGATTAGAGGATAAAACAAAATTGACCTGACAGGAGACACATTTTAGATATTGGAAAAGAAATAGGAATAAGTATTCTTGGTGCTGTGTAGAGAGATGAAGTATTAGACAGTATTAAGGAGCGGATTTACCCAATGCCATTGAGCTGATTCATAGCCATCCTATAGGGCACAGTACAGTCCCAGGGGTTTCTGAGTCTGTAAGTCTTTACTGGAGAAGACAGCCTCTTCCTTCTTCCTAGGGGAAACTGGTGGGTTTGAACTGCAGACCTTGAAGTTAGCAGCCCAGTGCCTAACCCACAGCACTACCTCTTTATAGTTTAAAAGAACATAGTGCTCAAGGCAGACATATTTGGTTTAAGATGTAAAGATTACTTCAAGACAATAGACTCCTATTCAGCCTTTATGGCTTAGGAAGTCTAGGGTCCATGAGAATTTTCCCACTCTGCACACACACCCCTTTTTTATTCGAATCCTTCAGTCATGATATCAGGGCACCATCTAGTTCTTCTGGTCTCATGGTAAAGGGGGCAGTTGTTTATGGTGCTGATTAGTTACCTATACAATAGCCTCTTTCTGTTTTTGACCCTCTTCCTTCCTCTGTTGCTTCAGGTGACTAGAGATTAGTTGTTGGCCCTTGGATTAGTCTGGGTACTTAGGAGAAACAAATCCACAGCAACTCACGTATAAGAGAGAGTTTTATGCAAAGAAAATGTGCATCACGAAAACATCCCAACCCAATGCTGCCCAAGCCCACAAGTCCGACATTAACCCATTAACCCAACACCAGTCCACAAAGTCCTTCACCTCACAAAACAGAGGCAATAATGCCGACTGCAGGAGGAAAGCTGAGTCAGTGAACGTGTAAGCATCTCAGCACTGGCAGGGGTCTCCACATGGCTGCTCCAGCACCCAGGGCTGCATCGGGATAGATCCATGCGGCTTCTCCTTGGGGATGTCTTGTAGGAAATCCATCTTGCAAGCTGAAGCAGGGAACTGCTAAGGCAGCTGCACCCGATGCAACCATCACAAAACAAGAGACCCGAGAACTCGAAAGGCTAGGCTTCACCACCCATTTATCCCTCCGCCTTTCAACCAGACCCACATGTGATTATCGGCCAGGCTGGCACAATTAACTAACTCAGATGGCTATTTACAAGACCCCAGAGGCTACACAACAAACAAGGTGGTAGAACAGAATCAACATATTATTAGGCTACTTAACTGAGATGTCCCATGAAGCCACGACCTTCAACCTCTAAACCAATGCACTAAATCTGACGAGGTTTTTAGGTGTACCTACACAGGCTCAGCTGCTGTCTTTGTGGTTGTTATTGTCAATATATCTATCACACAACTTTTCCCAGATGTACGACTTCCAGCGTAACCGGCGTAGGGATTTTGGGCTTTTACTTTGACGTGTTGAAGAGCAAGATGGCACTTTGAGGACTAGCGTGTACTTGACCAAAGCCGTGATATTTTCGATCCCCTTATATGCGTGTGAAACTTGGACAAGGAAAGAGGAAGACTGCTGGGGAGTGGAGGCATCGAATGATGGTGCTTCCTGAGACTACTGAGAGGACGGTGGGCCGACCCGAAGAACAGACCAACCTGTCTTGGAAGCACACAGCCCGAGTGCTGCCCAGGACTCAGGACGGAGAGAACTGGTCGCCTGTGCTTTGGGCATCTTATCTGGAGGAGGGCACCATGCTTGGTCAAGGAGATGGAATAAGGGTCCAACAGAACAACCATCGTAGGTTGGCCCAGGACAGGGCAGCGTTCACTCTGCTGTACCTGGAAGCACTACACATTGAACTGGGCTCAACGGCACCTAACAACGACAACGACAACAACAACATCAAAGCCTGCAAGCTTCTCCGCCCTGGAGCTCACACCCAGACTGTCCCTTACTCTGTTTATCTGCTGGGTGTGTGTCTCACCGTGTGTTCATTCACACCTCTGTGGAATTTCCAATGACTGTTTTCTTGAGGGGGGGAGTGGATCACCAGACCTTTGTTTCCTGAAGTGGACTTGAACTTCCAACCTTTCAGCTGGCAGTCGAGCTCATTCGCCATGGCACCCACCTAGGGCATAACTGGCTGATCTCCATGATGCGTGGGCTGGAGGATGGCACGCTCTCCACAGTTGCCTCTCTCAGGGCTTAGTTCCTTGGTTCCTCCTCCCCTCCTCCCCCCACCTACCCCAGTCTTCTTGTTTCTTTTATTCTGCGATTGCTTTCTGATAACCATGGTGCTTTCAAGATACGTAGGCAGAACATCTTTATAAAAGGGGCCAGTGTTCAGGTATAAGGCATCATCAGAACAAAAAAATCTTACCATAGTGAATGATGGGGGGAGTGCGGAGTGGAGACCCAAAGCCCATTTATAGGCCACTGGAAATCCCCTTGCAGAGGGGCCTCGGGGAGGAGACAAACCAGTCAGGGTGTGATGTAGCAACGATGAAAAATACAACTTTCCTCTAGTTCCTAAATGTTTCCTCCCCGCTCCCACTATCATGATACGAATTCTACCTTGCAAGTCTGGCTAGACCAGAGGATGTACACTGGTACAGTTAGGAACTGGAAATCCAGGGAATCCAGGGAGGATGATCCCTATAGGACCAGTGGTGTGAGTGGCAATGCAGGGAGGGTAGAGGGAGAGTGGGTTGGAAAGAGGGAACCGATTACAAGGAACTATATGTGACCTCCTCCCTGTGGGACGGACAACAGAAAAATGGGTGAAGGGAGACGTCGGACAGGGCAAGATATGACAAAATAATAATTTGTCAATTATCAAGGGCTCATGAGGGAGGGGGGAGCGGGGAGGGAGGGGAAAAATGAGGACCTAATGCCGGGGGCTTAAGTGGAGTGGAAATGTTTTGAGAATAATGAGGGCAATGAATGTACAAATGCGTTTTACGCAATTGATGTATGTATGGATTGTGATGAGTTGTATGAGCCCCTAATTAAAAAAAAAAGGGACCAGTGTTGTTTTACCCCCATGTCTTATCTTTAATCCACCTCTGAGTTACAGCTAACTTCCTCCATTTATATATATATATATATATATATATATATATTGGTTTTAGAGTTCAGAACGCTAACCGATGATGCCTGTTTCTCTCTCTGTGCACAGAACGGCCAAATACAGCGTGTGGTCCTTCCTCCCTCAGTACTTGTACCTGCAGTTCAGCAAAGTTGCCAATGTTTTCTTCCTCTTCATTGTCGCCTTGCAGGTAATCTTTTTGAACGTGACATTAGATGACAACTCTCAAAGAGCAAGCAGAGACCCTTAAAAAGTTCATTGAGCCGCAATAAAAGTCGGACGTAGAGAATACCTCTGAACACTCGCAGAGGAAAACCCTCATGACCCTTAGGTTAGGGCCGCAGACACGGACATCGACTTCTGTCTGCAAACCAGACCAAACCTGTGGATGGACAATAGATGAGTTATTGTTCTTGGGTTCCACCAAATTAACTCTGCTTCATGGAGACCCAGCTGACAGAGCAGCACGGCCGCGTACGGTTTTCTGGGCCTGGAAGCGTTACAAGACCATCCTGCGGAACTGCTGGTTTGTTGAAGACCCTCCTACCGACAGCAAGTCCATTCTGACTCATGGTGGCCCTGCAGGTCAGAGCAGAACTGCTGCTGCCCAAGGTTTCTGAGGAGGTAGATCTGTACGGAAGCAGACTGCTACATCTTTCTTTGCGGAGTGGCTGACGGATTTGAACTGCCTACCTTTCAGGAAGCAGCCTGACGCTTAACCTACAGTGCTACAGGGCTCCTTGCTCATCTGGTATGACTTCATTCACATAGCAAAGAAAACCCTTATGTCCAAGCAGTCATACAGACAGGCAAAATGGTTCAGGGCTCCCCTATAGCCCCTTTGGGATGTGACCCCATCCATCACGTGTTCTGCCCCCCAGAAAACCACACATCGTGCCTCAATTTTGATCACTTGATTGCACATATTTTCAATGATGCTGATGGTTCTAGGATTCTAGTCACCATTCTTTTCTCACCTTGGAAGCTGCCGTCTGCTGGGCCTGCCTTTTTTCCTCTTCTTTATGTAAAAAAGAAGAAAGGTTCAGTAAAATGATTGATCTGAGTTTACTTTTTCTGAAGAGAAGCTATTTCAAACAAATAGAATTTGAACTATTCCCTTGAAAGCAGAATGGAATTCCTGCTCTCTTGTGAGGAGGATCTAAGTGAGGGAAGTGTGACGGGAGAGCAGTTGCACGGGCAAATGGTCCGTAATGTAGCGTGGACGCTTCACAAAGTTCATGGGAAGATAGAACTAAAAGATGATGGATTTCTGATCCTAAGACCAGAAGAACGAGATGGTGCCCAACTACCAAGACCAACTGCTCTGAAAGGGATCACGGTGGAAGGTCTGGGATAGAATGGTAGAAAAAATGTGGACCCAAGCTGAAAAATCACCCAAAAGACCAGGCTCAGTGGTCAGATAGAGACTGGTGGAGCCCCAGAGACTACTACCCTTAGTTACCCGTCAGATATGGACCCTCGTGGCTTGATTTTCAGCCAAACAACAGACAGGTCTACAGAGGGAAATAGGAAGTCAAATTAGGAAGGCCCGCATGCCAGAGACGCGTCAACCATTTCAAGTAGGAAGGGTGTAACTTACCCAAGACCCAAGTTCAGAGGGGCTAAGCCAGCAGGAGGGGTGGAAGGAAAGAGGAGACATGGGGAGGAAACACGGTGGCACGTGGAGGGTGTTGCCGTGAAAGAGAGCAAAGGAAACGCACGTGCATTGCTGCATGGACAAGGTCACCCGCCATAGCAATACAAAGAAATAAAAAGTGGGGAGGGTGGGAGATGGAATTTCCCCATGGGACCTTTGAGAAGCCCTCTCTTAGGTAGTCACACCAAGGGCCTGAGAACCTCCTTCCCCTTTCCGCTTAAGCTGTCTGTGGTTCCCACATCCTGGGCCATGCCAAAGTGGGACTTTGCCCTTACGCAGAATGGAACAAGGATTTGTCTAGAGCAGTGGTTCTCAACCTTCCTAATGTCACGACCCTTTAATACACTTCCTCAGGTTCTGGTGACCCCCTCACCACCGTAAAATTATTTCTGTTGCTACTTCATAACTGTCATTTTGCTACCGTTATGAATCGGGCGACCCTGTGAAAGGGTTGTTTGACCCCCCCAAAGGGGTCGTGACCCACAGGTTGAGAACCGCTGGTCTAGAGCTTCACGGTGCGCCTCTGGTTGTTTTGCAGCAAATTCCAGACGTCTCCCCAACAGGAAAGCACACAACAGCGGTGCCTCTGATGATTATTCTTATAGTGTCAGCCATCAGAGAGATCATGGAAGATTACGTAAGTCTACCTTTATTTAGATCATGCAATGCTTGCGGAAGTGTTGCATGTAATATAAATGTCATCTATGTCACCTTTATGTCTCTCTCTTTTGGGGGGGAAGGGGGTCTAAAGGACAGGTGATTGGAACTGGTTGAATTGTCGCAGTCAGCAGTTGGTGTGAAGAGTCAAATTTTGGGTGTTCGTGTTTTAAATTCGATTCTCCTTGATTCATATCTTTGGTAGACCTTACAGGACTTAAGAGCTGGTATGTGAACTATGACCGCAACCCTGGGCTCACAGCCCATCCACAAGCGATGATCCTCAAATGGTCCTAAAGGATGTCCACGTGATGCTTGCATTTCTCTTTGTCTCACACGCACCCACCCGATTTGGGTGGCAGAAGGAAGCAAGAAGATACATAACACGGTTTGCCATTTGTTCTGATCCTACTTGCTCTACCCGGCGGTGCCGTTAGGTGCCATCGGGTTGGTTCTGACCCATAGCAACCTTATGCACAACAGAAGGAAACACTGCCTGGTCCTGCGCCTTCCTCATAGTTGTTCCTATACCTGAGCCCATGGTTGCAGCCACCGTGCCGAGCCATCTCCTTGAGGGCCTTCCCCGGTCCGCTGCCCCTCCACTTTACCAAGCATGACATCCTTCTCCAGGGGCTGGTCTCTCCTGACAGAGCCGTGGCCACAGGACAGAAGCGGCAGAGCGTCACCCGGTTCTTGAGGTCCCCTGCCAATAGAGGCCTTTGCTCAAGTGCTCTTGTCCCTGAACTCCTGTCTCATTCCTCCCGTCTGGTAACGAGCTGTAACCATGGAGCCTCGTGGTTGCCTTCTGGTTGGCTTAGGACAGGAAAAGGTTCTAGCCTTCAAGAGCCCTCTGCTGGTCAGGACCAAATCCAGACTTGCTCATGCTCTGTTTCAGCTACTGTAGTCACTGGACGCAAGGACGCAACGCCAACCTTTTAAGTAGCACCCCCCCCCCCCTTATTCATTGACTCTGCTTTATCTGTAAACACTATTTTCCTAGTGTTGGTTTGGTGTCAGGCATACAGCTCCTTATACAGGGATTCTTTTTCAAAATTCGGTCTTGAAAAGATAGGGGACACACACACACACACACACACACACACACACACACACACCCCTCACCGCCATTGGGTCAATTCCAACTCAGAGTGACTATAGGACAGGGAAGAATTGTCCCTGAGAGCTCCCAAGACTGTAACTCTCTCTCTCTCTCTTTAAAAAAAAAAGATATTTCCGTATTGCTTCATTTTGTCTTCCCAAGCCATTTGATTAAGAGGTAATCCAGATATCATCCCATCCCATAGATCATTCACACGGAGCCGAGCTGTCCCATCGCTACCACAGCCAGTTTTAAAACATGTTCTTCCTTCCTGGCTCCTTGAAATCAGCCCCCGTCCCCCCACCTCCCCACCTTGTCCCCCGGGACCCCTATTCTACTTGTCTCCATAGACTCACTGATCCTGGATTCCATACACCGAGAAACACCGAAAAACAACAGCGCGTCAAGAAGGCTACCAACCATGACATAATACAACAAACTCCAATAAGGGGAGAAAAAAAATCCACAGAAAATAGGAAAAACCAGGTCCAACACAAAGTGTATCCGAAGGGAGATCAAGTGGCAAGGTTTTACACGTTCAAGTCAGATTGATCATTTTAATCTCCTATCGCCCATAGAAACCAGATGGGTTTGTCCAACACTTGCTGTCTGATAGCCAGGTTATTCCCATCCTTCAATTGTGGCTGGAGGGAAGTCACGGGGGCATATTCCCTTGTCGATCCCGCAAAGGTATTTTGGGCGTCCACTAGTATCCAAAACCTGGAAAGCGCTCAAGGCCATGGGTGAGGAGCCAAGAGCAGGAAAATCCCCGAAATCCCCGCACCAACTCAGGAGAGAGTCCCACCCTCCGCTTGCAGAGCACCCCTGGAAAGAGAAGAGGGGTCCTTGGCCTGCCGGAGGCTGGCTTTTACCCCCTCCTATCTCCCCTGGTTGGGGAGGCGTGTTGCAGGGTATTGGCCGACCCTAACGGCTGAGTTTAAGCTCACCTGTGTGATGCCATGGGCTTAGGTTGTGGCCAGGTTTAGCTTCACCTGCGCCCAGGTGGCCTTAAGTCTGCGCATGCTCAGTTTGGATCTTCCCATAGCGTCTGATTAGTGTGCCTGATTTCTTTCCAGCCCCCGTATTGTGGCATGGACCGCTAATGTCTGAGTCGCGCAGGCATTCAGGAAGACAAGCCCCTTTTATTTCTAATCGAGCAACGTAACACAGCTAGGGGCAGAGCTGGGGTGTCAGCCGGGGTCCATGCTGTTCTCTGTCCATCTCTGTCCATCGGGCTCTCAGGTTACATCTGGAGTCATGTGAGGGAAAAGCAACACTGAAATCACTCAAGGCCAAAGAAGGCTTTACAACTTACAATTAAGGCGCACTGGCACTTAGATTGCAATTTGAGTCATTTGTTACGGATTTTGCACCTAATGGGCTTTTTTTTATTCCCCTACCACAGAAACGACATAAGGCAGACAGACTAATTAACTTAAAGAAAGTAGCAGGTAAGCTATTGCACTGAACTTTTATCTGACTTCTCTAGAGGCAAAAAACCCCAACAAATTCACCAAGTTTTGTAATAATTAAAATATTGAATGAAGCAGTTAAAGAAATATAGAGACAAAGCATCAGAATCAGAAGAGAATTCAGTTTCTATATGTCAGAAGCAATGATTGTGTTAGTTGGAGTCAAAGAAAAGCAGACAGGATGGGGTGTAGGCAATGCAGACCACCCTTAAGTCCCTAAAGAGCTCTGGTTTCACATAATGGGCGGGTATCTCCTGGTCTTCCAGCTGTGATAACTTTGAAACTGATTGCCAATAGATTCTATTGCTTTCCAGGCTCCCAGTTAACACTTAAATGTTGTAGCAGCAAACTGTTTTCCCTTTCGCACTGAGAATGACTTAATATAGCATCTATCTATCTATCTATCTATCTATCTATCTATCTATCTATCTATCTATCTTCCACTTATCTATGTATCATTCACCTGTCTCTCTCAATCCATCCATCCATCACTATCTGTCTTGCTCTGCGTCTGTCTCTGGTTATATTCTTCACACTGTAGTACTTACATCACTCCATTGCAGTGGCATGCATGTGAGCATCCTTAACATCCTCTTGCAGTGTATATAAAGGTTGTGCAAACAAAGATAACATTTCATGGAGAAGTCTGCTCTTTTCTGCGGGGGGGAGGAAGGTTGACCTTTTGTTATTTTGAAATTTAGCGAGGTCTCTTTTTCAGTGCTCCGACGAAACACCTGGCAGATGATTACGTGGAAAGAGGTAAGAATGAACTTGAGAGAGATTTCAGTGGCTGTGCACATAGTCCCATGCGGTTTACACATCTCGGATACGTGTACGCGCCTGTATTCATTCTGTGTATGCTGCTTTATTCCCGCGTTTCCTGAAACACAGAGAGAAGTGTATTCATCTACGAAATGCAGAAACCCACACATCCTACACACGAAGCACGAGGCAAGCAGAAAACAGTACAAGGAAAGGAGAAAGCCGGGGTTAGTACTTGCTTACATGAAAGAGTGCCTTGGAAGAGAAGTCTGGCACTCTCCTCGGGAGAATCGGCCACTGGCAGCCCCCTGGACTGGTGGGACCCCAACAAGACACCGCCTCTGTAGGAAACGGTTTTCCTTAGACAGTTAAGCATAAAACGACCACACACCCCAGCAGTTCTGCTTAAATATACCCAGGACTCCTGTGGGCCAGTGTTCCCGGTGGCCAAATGGTGGAAACAACCGAACTGCCCACCAAGGGGTGAATGGATACGCCGATTGTGGCGCTTACGCCCCTCAGAACGGGAGTCGCCCACAGGGAGAAGTGGAATGCGTGCTACATTGTGGGGGCGGGAGGAAGCCCGTACGGACTCACAGGGGCAGTTCTACCCTACTGGTGAACCTTACAAGGGCAACCACTGTCTGCTCCTCTAACTTGTATGAACTCACAAGAACAAGCAGACGTCAGACACCAGCCCTTGTACGCGGAGACAGAGGAGGGGGGGCGGGGAAGGAGCCAGGGCGGGTGAGCAGGTTCCCTGATGGTGAGGAAGGACGAGTCATCAGCCAGAGATGCACATGACTACAGCAGGAGGCTTGAAAACGTTTGTGGGGAAAATGGAATGATAAGATACGAGGACTTTCCGGCAAAACTTTTCAGCCCCCTCTTGTATGCATATACGAGGGGTACGCCCGCCCCCCCCAACAAAGAAAACTGGATGTTTTTCAAAGCTATGCATTTAATTTTGTTTTTACAAAAAATCTTATCACCTTCAAAGTACTCTCCATGTACTTGTCAAATCTACAGTTCCATTCTTGGAAACATCTTTCAAACTCATCCGTTTGGATGGCTGACGCCACCTCCCTCATTTATGTCTTCACCTCTTCTAATCATCAAATTGCTGTCCTTTCATGGAGCAAGTTCACGTGAGTGAGATGTCGGGAGCAAGAGAGGCATGCTGTTTTTTGTCCAAAAGTGGTGCATTGAGATGGCAGGGTGAGCAGGTTCATTGTCGTGGTGGCAAAACCAGTTTCCCACCTGCCATAAACCAGGCCTTTTTGGGCCGCACACTATTACCTATCATGACAATCTTTCCAGAACCTGAAAGTAGAAAGCTTGATGAACAGTCTGACATGGTGGAACGAACTCCAAATGCACTAGCCCCCTCACATCAACAAGACACACAAATGAGCATCGTTTTGGGGGGTACCCTCTCGTATGTACACTTGGTGTGTCAAGGCCTTGGAAGTTCCCAGTGGGCACTGTCTCCCATTGAACGTGAACGTGAAGTCAAAGTGCCTTCGGGCTGTCCGCAAAGACGACCCCCATGCTTCGTTTTGTCAGCGAGAAAACAACGTCCTGCTTCTCGAGTTCAAGGACTGGATCCCTAGTGATACGAGGCCTCCCGGCGGCTCTCAGACCGCTTGGCTCCTGGGCCCAGCGGATTGCTCTAGGCTCCCCGAGAGTTCCTCTCAAAGGATAGTCATCCTTCAATGAGAGTTTCACACAGTGGCTGCTCCAGCTACTCACACGTGCACATGCACACACGGCGACACAGCCCTGCTTGCTGACACCAGTTGTGAGATACCATGACTGCTCCCTCGTTGGTTATGCATCTGTACAACGGTGAGGTTTCTCGAGTGGGTAAGACCTCGGTTCTTGGCTTCACACCAGAAAGAATTCACGTCGAAGCGTGGTTAGTAATCCAAGTGCGTTTTTATGAAGGACGGGGGAAGTTTCAGGTTTCCCAGTCTCAAAAGAGTACACGCTATTTCAGGGAAGCGTGACAAACCGCATGTAAGTCGTGCTGGGGCTCACAACTGAACACGGGCAACCTTGTGGGACTGCGTGCCCGCACGTGGTGAATGGAGACCAGAGAGTCCATGGCACGGCCGAGCAGGCACAGAAGTAGGGGGTGGGGGGGATTGAGCAGGAGTCAAAGAGCCCGGTCCTCCCGCTGCCAGGGTATTTCAAACCTCTGGCTGGGGAGGCGTGGTTGAAGGTCTTGGTTGAATTAAGCCCACCAGGGTCTAGTTTGGGACACCTAGGTGTAACGCCCACCTGGCTCGGGGGTGGGGGGAGGGGGGTCTGAATTGGAGCATGCCCAGTTCAAGAGTCCTCGTAGGTGTTTAATGCTCACCTGATTCCTTCCCCACCTCCTCTATGGGGGGCCTGTACAGGTATGGGAGGAGGGACAACGCCTCCTATCCCTGACTGGCTCACCTAATACAACCTACCTATAGGGCAGCTCACAGCATGCCTCTGACACCTTGAGTAAATAAATGCTGCGTGAACAATTCACCTGCCAAGCCACGCCCTCTCCACAGCTCTCTCACCCTTCAGCATGGCAGTCTGGGCTCTGTGAGTCACACAGAGCATGTGCCTTTGAAATGGCCTTGGGGCTTCAGGGGAACAAAGACAATCTGAAGGGGACAGGTCAGGGCTGTGGGGCCGAGGGGGTGAGGTTTCCTAATAAGCTTCTCACAGGGCAGGCTACCTTTGAAGGTACCTTGTCGGGGGCTACCTTTGAAGGTACCTTGTTGGGGGCGGGGAGGGGAGGGTTCCTCGTTGGGACTTTCCCCTCACCAATGCAGTTTTCCATTTTCCAAAAACATCTTCCTAAGTAGCTTCCATGATGGCCCTGTGCCCTTCGGCAATATCTTTCAAGATGGTCCCTCTGGGGTCCCCAATCAATGGCCGCCATCACCTTCGGGCCGACCCCTCTGCTTTGAGGTGAGCTGGCCCAGCCAGTCCTCTCAGAAGCCACTGTTTGGACAGGACCTGCTTTTTAAAAGGCCCTTCAAGGTAGTGCAAATACGCATGTTCACTACAGGGCTGTCCTACCTTGTCCTCGGGGTCAGGACTCTACGGCAGGGGGGGTTAGACTAAAAGAAATCCAGCCTCTGCTCCCCCAAATGAGCCAGTTGCCATTGAGCCAGTGCTGCCTACTGGGGACCTCATGTGCCCCACAGTTGATCGGTGCCCATTAGGGGCTTCAAGGCGCTGACCCTCTGGAAGCGGGTTACACCCCCCCCCCCCCCCCCCCCCCCCCGCCCCACTGCTGCAGCCCAGCAGGCAATGCTCAAGTTCACTGCCACGGAGTCCATGCCGACCCCTAGTGACCCCACGGAACGGGATAGAGCTGCCCCTGTGAGTTGCCGAGACCGTAACTGTCCACAGGAACAGAACGCAGTGGTTTTCTCCCGTGGTGCGGCTAGCGGATTCCAACGACAGACCTTGCGGTTAGAAACCACTCTGGCCCCAGGGCTCCAGCGGGAGATGCTGAACACTGGGGATTCCGCTGGGAGGAGGTCAAGCCCAAGTTCACGGAGCAGCTGAGGGAGAGGGACCGTGTAAGACAGCAGTGAAACCAGAACCAAAGTCCCTCTGATGCCCAGTGAGCCTCCCGGACAGGGTCGAACTGTCCCCGTGGGTTTCCAAGACGGTCGCTCTTTACAGGAGTACAGCTCTAACGCAAACTCACTGCCATAGTGTTGATTCGACTCACAGTGGCCCTATAGGACGGAGCGGAACCCCCGGCGCCCCCGGCTGTGGGTTTCTGAGAATAACTCTTCATGGGAATAAAACGTCTCATCTTTCTTCTGAAGGGTGGTCAGTCGTTTCCCACGACTGACCTTGAGATCCGCAGCCCAAGCCACAAATCCCGTGCCACCACAGCCCCTAAGGCAGCAGTAACACTGCGATGTAGCCACGTCACGCATCATACAATTCCTTAGTTCAGTCCTGGGAAGGAGAGTTGAATAATCACCACAATCTATTTTAAAAACGTGTTTTTTCTTGCATTCATTTTTATTAGCTCACCATTTCCTACCAAGCTCCCCTGCCACCGCCCCCAAAAACCATCAATCCAGTTACTGTCTATAGATTTACCTACCTGGATTTCATCTACAGAAAAACATGCCGAGGACAAACTAACCACAAAAACAAAGTAAAACAGATAAAACCCTCAGTCAAAAAGAAAGTAGAAAATAGTAAAAATTAGAACAAATTTAAGACGGGTCAAATAGGAGATCAAAGGACAAGGTGTTTTTTAACCTAACGTTAATCCATTTTCCAATGTGCTCTGCATGCCAGCATGGCTGTTCGCATCCTGGTCTACGGTCAGAGGGGATTCCCCGGAGACTTAATCCATGTGTAGTTTCCTTCACCTCTTTTTATTTCCTTCCTTCTTTCTTTTTTTTTAATGGAAACAATTTTAAAGTGGCTTAAAAGGGAGATCAAACGACATTTTAACTACATCTGCCACAGCTGGCTTTACCATGCTCTGTCTGTCAAGAAGGCTCTGCATGTCCCTGGACCAGGTCACTGGAGGCCTCCTCCCCAGGTGGACCCTGCAGATGGGGGTTGGGGCTTCTTCTACACGGGAATATTTGGTCCCAGAGCAGGGTTTCCCATCTGGCGGTCATCTCGGGCCAGATAATTCTTTATGACGGGGTGCTTTCTCTCTGTGAATGGCATTACAGCATTCGTAGCCTCTGTCCAACAGAGTCCCGGGACACGCTGATCTTTAACCATTTCTCTACAACTCAAAATGTCTCTGAACTTTACCTAAAGTTCCCTGGAGGTGTGGGGGAGGGGAGTCACTTCTGTTTGAGAACCCCTGTTTTTTGGAGACAGGGGACCTGCCCATCAAAATGCTCGAAGGAAGCTGAAATGTTACTCGTCTCTTTAAACTGTACTTTCCTTGAGCGCCCTGGGCCACGTCACCCTCTAGCAGTGCTCCTGAAACTCATGCTCGCCCCCCCCTACCCCCGTCTTTGAAACAGGTGAAAGTGGGAGACTTTGTGAAGGCCTTAAGCGGACAATACCTACCAGCAGACATCGTCCTGGTTTCTTCCAGGTGAGTTATATGAGTGGGCACTTAGGAACCACCTATTCTGAGTCCGGAACTTGAAGAACAACACCGGCAGAAGCAGGGTTTCCCAACCCTGGCACTGGTGTCCCGTTGGGCTGGATAGTGCTCCGTTGTGGGGTCTCTCCTGTGTGAATTGTGGGAGCCCCTAACCATCTCACCATCCTTGTTTGTATATTGTATACTCGACACCCCAAACCAAACTCGCTTCCACTGGGTCAATCCCAACTCGCCGCGGCCCCAGAAGGCAGAGTAGAACTGCCTCTTGGAAACTCTGGGTTTCTTTCCAAGACTGCAACTCTTCGCCGGAGCGGAAAGCCTCATCTTTCTCCCAAGGATCAGCTGGTGGTTTTGAACCGCTGACCTTGCAGTTAGCAGCCTCAATGGATTACCCTTTAGGCCACCAGAGCATCTTCCTGTCGTACACTAGATGTGGCAGACTTTCAGAAAAGGGCTGGGGTACGTATCTCCCAGCTTGGTGGGTCCTGCAGCCTCACATGCAGCTACTTGATCCTGCCATTTTATCAGGAGGAAACAGGCATAGACTATGTACATGTGTGGGGTCCTGTGTTGCGATAAAACTTGATTTACAAAAACCAAAAAATTAAAAAATTAAAAAAAAATCCTTTTCTTCACTTTCCCTGGCTCTATTTTTGTGCATCCCTTTTCTTAGATTAGTCCCATCCCATTTACAATTCCTGTAGACCCTCAGCTAAAAGGACATTAAACTTGTTAATTTGTTTCATTCTTCAGTTTTTAACTAAAAAATGGACTTTCAGTAAAGCATAATTATGGAATGATAAAAGTTGTGCTTCATAAAGAAAGAATATGATGGGATTTCAGAAGTTCATGGAAAAATTCCAGTATCTTTTCATTTCATTTTCTATGAACATCTTGAAGTCCCCCGTAGTATAAAGCAAAAACTGACAGGTCTACATGACATTCTGAAATCCAACATCAAGTAGAACGTTTTGATGTTTGCTTTTGGCAATTGATGGGTCGAATGCAGAAAAGGATCTGCAATAGTCAAGCTCCACAAGGGACAAGTTTAAAGTAATGCACAATGAAACAAAAGAAAGACAACATCAACAAATTTCAAGAGACAAGCCCTGGTGGCACAGCGGGTTACTAGCAGAGCTGTAAGCTGCGAGGTCAGCATTTTAAACCCACCCGCCATTCTGTAGGAAAAGAATCCTCCAGGGAACTATCCAAAACACTCACCACCATTGAGTTCATGTTGATGCCTGGCGTCTCTATAGATGCCGCCCCAGCCCCACCCCAAGGGCCCTGTTTAGATATTAAATAAGTAATTTAAAGAGCATCCCACAAGGAGATCATAGAGTCCAGACCCTGTAACCGTCAAGTTAAAGGAGTGACTATTAAAAGCATGAATGTAGTAGCTCTCTCAAGGAAGGACTGAAGACCACACCATGAGGCAGCTTTTCGGGCTTTGAAACCATTAGGCACTCAAGGGTCTCTACTCTCGTAAAGAGCCAGTCTCAGGCACCCACAGGGGCAGTCCTACCCTGTCCTATAGGCTCCCTGTGAGTTGGGATGCAACTCAGTGACAGTGATGTTGTTGTTGAGTAAGTCCTGTGTTTCTAAGCCTGTAGTACACAGGCTGTCTGCAAGCAGTTCGACTCAGCTTCCAGCAGAAAGAGTAGTGATTTGAATCCAGCCAGAGGGCCCTCGGAAGAGAGGCCTGAGGATCTGTTTCTGAAGCTCACAGCCCTAAGGACCCTGGGGCGCAGGTCTCCTCTGAAGCTGCTGGGGTCACGTGAGTCAGAACCACCCTGATGGCAACCTTTGCTTTGTTTCGTATTTAGACAGGGGCATTCCTTTTAATGTTATTCTTAAACGGTAACTGTCCCATCAACTCTTCCAAAAAATTTTTTTTATTGTGTGTTTTAACTCCAGACTTTCTAGTTTGCTCCTTTCTTTAAAAATTATTTCTTCTAGCTGAGAGGACTTACTAAGAGGCAGAAGGGCAAGCGTGATGGTGGGGCAGGAGAAAGGTAAAAGGAAACAGAGGAAAGATCTAGGAAGCAAAGCTATGGATAGAGGTATAAGCATAGGTGTGTACATATGTAAAAACATTAATTCATAAAAATAGAAGTATTGGCCTATGTACATATATTTATATGGCAATACACTGAGGCAGTGGATGGACTTCAGACCTCTGCTCAAGCCCTCCCTCCATGCAAGAACACTTTGTTCTAACAACCTGGCATTCTGTGATGCTCACCCTTCCGGCATGATCGCTGAAGACAAAATGGGTGCATAAGCAAATGTGGTAAAGAAATCGAATGGTGCCCGGCTATCAAAAGATATAGCATCTGGGTTCTTAAGGGATTGAAGTTAAACAAGCAGCCATCTAGCAGAGAAGCAACAAGCCCACATGGAAGAAGCACACCAGCCTGCGCCATCATCAAGTGTCGATGGATCAGGTAACAGGCATCAGAAGACCCAAAACAAACAAACAAACAAACAAGAACAAAAAGCCATATTGTTGAGAACAAGGGGGGGTCAGAGCAGAGACCCCAAACCCATCTGTAGACAATGGGATATCCCCTTACAGAAGGGTCACAAGAAAGGAATGAGTCAACCAGGGTGCAGTATAGCACCAATGAAAACACACAATATTCCTCTGGTTCCTTGAGGATGCCTCACCCTCCACTATCATGACCCCAGTCCTGCCTTTCACTGCAGGAATAGACCAGAGCATGTGCACAGGAATATATAAGAGATAAGAGCTCCTCTAAGGCTTCCTATAGATGCAAGAAAAAATGTCCTCACGCTTTCTGTCTGTCTCCTTGTGGCAGCCATGATTGAATAGGGGAATACATCTAAAAAAAAAAAAGAGAGATAACAGCTCATGACATACAGAATCTAAGAACAGGAATGACAGTACCCAGGAGGGTAGAGGGAAGGTGGGGAGAGGAGGGAGGAAGGAGGAACCAATCGCAATGATGGATACATCACCACCCCCATTCCCCAGGGGGATGGACAACAGAAACCATGGGGGAAGGGAGATCATGGTCAATATAATATATGAAAATAATAATAATTTATAATTTATCAAGGGGTCATGAGGGTGAGGTGGGGGAGGGAGGGGAAAACAGAGGAGCTGATACCAAGAGTGCAACAGAAAGTAAATGTTTAGAAAATACTGATGGTAACATAAGTACAACTATGCTTAATAACACTAGATGTATGGATTGCTATAAGAGCTGTCAGAACTCCCAACAAAATGATCTTTTAATAAAAAGAAAAAATAATTTCTCTCTATTAATATTCTAATATGAATAGACATTGTCCTAATAGTTTCCTTTAGTTGTTTACACATGGTTTCCTGTGAACAAATATGCAACACAGTGAGCTGGTTTGAAGCTCAGCCTAGTAAATCGGTCTGGGCTTTCTCAGGGACAGTTTTCTTGATTGTTTCCCCCACTCCCCGCAGGTTTAGGAGCCGTGCATCCTTGTTTCTTTGCACGTCTTGTGATTTTTGGTTGACACCTGAAGTACTGTCATATGGGAATCTTGGAAGCCAGATTTTCCTTGCTCCTCGGGGCTTGTTTCCGTTGCTGTTGTAGTTTTAGGGAATTTTTTCCAGCACAGCAATAATTGTTAAGTCTCTCCATCCTTGCTTCAAAGGAGCACTGCGACGGTGCTTCTTCCAGCACAGACGTGTCTGTTCCTTTGGCGTCCGTGGCCCCCTCCATGCTCGCTGCGTCACCATCATTCGCAGGCATCCTTCAGCCTTCCCGGTCCAGCGTTCAATTTCCACACGCATGTGAGGCCCTTGGAAAAAGATCATGACTTGGCGAGGCGCACCTTAGTCCTCAGTGTGACCTTGCTTCCGCACACTCTAGAGAGGGCTTGCCAGCAGATGGATCCAATACAACGAGTCTCTTGATCTCTTGGCTGCTGCTTCCATGAGCCTTGGCTGTGGATCCAAGCACGATGAAATCCTCGACAATTTCAACCTTTTCTCCATTTATCATGATGTCACCTATTGGTCCAGTTGTGAGGATTTGGGTCTTCTTTACATTGAGTTGTCATCCGGGCCAAAGGCAGCAACCCTTGACCTTCATCAGCAAGTGGTCCAGGCCCTCACGTTCGGCAGGCCAGGTCGTGTCATCTGCATACCGCAGGGGGTCTTTTACTCGGGTTCTCACTGGTACCCTCCAGTGAAGGGTTATATTGGATTCGTATTAGACTGTGTAACAGTCATTATTTGGTAGCATAACCTCAGAAAGATTAATGCAGGTGGTTGTGCTTTAAGCTCATGTTTCAGTGAATGATGCACATTTAAAGAGGCAAGGGTGAACGAAGGATGGAATAAACTCAAAGGGGGCATTTTCATGATCGTTTCTGGATCTTCCTGCCCAGCGACTATTTCCACAGATGGTTTTAGATGGGGCAGAGAAGAACAGTGTTTATCCAAAGGGTGGCTGCTCGCTCCGGAGCCGTCCTGGAAGACAGAACTTCATTCCAAAGACCCTTATGCCTAGGACTTTGAGGATGAGAGTGTCCACTCTGGAGACCAGCTGAATTTTTGGTTCAAGCCTTCAGAGCAGTCGGAGGTTGGGACAGTTAAGAAGGACAGAGTAGCTCCTGTCCACCCTCTGCTGTTTCTCCTCAAGGATTTCAAAGGTATGCTCACAAAACCTCCTGATCCGTTCTGCACACTGACATCTAGGCTGCTAAGGAGCCCTGGTAGCACAGTGGGTTGACGAGGCTTCTGTTCCCTTAAAGACCGACCACCTGGAAACTCCAAGGATCTGCCCCACCCCGAGGGTTGCTCAGTCAGAATCGGTGCCGTGGGGTTCGGGACCACACTGCTGGCGTCCTTTGGTGCAGCACCTTTTTTGGAAGGCAGTCATTGGTGCAGACCACATTTTAAAAAAAATCGTTTTATTAGGGGTTCATACAACTCTTATCACAGTCCATACACACATCAATTGTGTAAAGCACATTTGTACATTCATTGCCC